TTTCTAACTCCAAACATTAGAGTTTTCAAGAAGAAAATTTCATTCAACAATCAAGACCATTTCCAGATGTGTTAACAGAATTTGTGAACGCAAATATAAATCTGTTTAGCATGATGGATGGTCCCTCAACAATCACTCCTGTCTGACGCACTGAATAGTCTCATCATCAGCCCAACGGATAAAAGGTAGGCATCCCTTTACCTCTAAGGTTAGAAGCTTACAAACCACATTTCCCAGAGTCCCTTACATCTAGGGTTCTGGGCACAGCTTGAGTTCTGCAAGGGAGCTGAGCTGGATGAGAAGGAAGGTGAAGGGTATCTAAGGAAGATGTTTGCTAGCTTCTTTCTGTTGTTGGTACCAATGTTCAGTCACTAGCTTCCTGGGATGCAGAGGCAGTTTGCAGCAGGCTCTGGGTTCACTGGAACACAGCCCAGGCAGTGTGTCCTTGATGTTATCAGCTTGCTCAGATTCCCAGACTCCTGGGGGCCTGTCCAGCCTTGCTGCCTGGGATTCAGCTCTCAAGGCTCAGGCTTGATCCTATCCTCTCCTTAGGTTGCAACCTTCCCTTCCAATCTTCTTGTGAGTACCTAATTCTCTTCTCAAACCCCTTTCTGCTTAAAGTAGCTAGGGTAGTTTTTATTATCTCCAAGCTAACTGATAAAGAGAAGAGAGAGATGAGACCATCCAATCTACCAAATGGCAGGTAATACCTCAGAAGAACCATGGGAAGGGAAAACATTGTGTGCCTCTGACAATACACAGTTAAACATTTCAGAACAAGAAGACGGTCTCAAGCTGCACCTTCTAGGACTATGTAAATCAAGGCCAACAACCCTTTGGCCTTGGAGGCCACAGCACAATGACAAATCCTGAGAAATAATAATAGCCTAGCTGTTCTAGGAGACTCTTAGAGAAGGGAAGAGAGAAGGGAATAGGGACAAGCGATCAGAGTAAAACCATTCATCTGTGTGAAAAGGACCACAGTTCAAATCCCTCAAGTGACCTTGCAGGTTAGACACTCTCCTGTTGCTACCCTGCAGTCTGTGTTACGGCCTCACAGAGCTGGCTTAAGAGTTCTCAAATAAAGACCCAGGAAGCCTTTCACACGAGAAATACAAAGTGAATCAGACCCTACAGCTCTTTAATAGACACTGGAGAGGGAGAGAGAGAGAGATAAATACATGGATTGATAGACAATAGAAAGACGATAGGTAAGTTACAGACGGAGATGTATGTGATAGCTGGAAATATACACAATGTGTATTTTAAATAAAAAAATCTGTTAGATTTAAAACAGATTAATCCAAGAGGTTTTAAGGTCAGACAATCGACAATACCTAGAGCTGCTGGACTGGTGGATCAGAACAAATAGTGGTTTAGTTTCTGATCAGCTTAAAAAGAGATCATAAATATGGGCAGCGCCTATGGCTCAAAGGAGTAGCGCGCCAGCCCCATATGCCAGAGGTGGCAGATTCAAACCCAGCCCTGGTCAAAAAATACAAAAAAATAAAAAAGGTGGTTGCAAGTAACCTTTTCCAATTCAGTAGAGTTGTCTGAACAAACACCTAAGACAAGATGTTTACACAAAACAGTTAAGAATTCTACTGAGAGGATCATCCTGACATGAAAGAAACGGGTCGTATAGCCCAGGCCTACTGCTCACTCACACAGCACTGTCTCTGCTTTCAAAGACACCTGTGGTCTCCTTCATTCTCCCAGCAACACACACACACACTCTCTCTCTCTCACACATACACACACACACATGCACAGAGTCTCTGCAGGCGCTGTTCCTCTT